AGGCTTTTGACTGAAGTCTACTTGTTAGAGTGTTGTACAGAGGCAAAGCAAGCCAGTTTGCATGACTCTGTAATCTATACAACACAGGGTTATACTTTGTGTCAGAAGGGCCATTAACTACAACACTTGCAAACACATAGGTTAAAATTCTGTAACTGCAAAACAACAGCAAAAGAATATAGCTGGCAAAATTCAGAGACACTCCATAAAAATCAAGCAGTGCCTCAAACCTGATTCCCACAGAATCAGCAGATTTTTAGTTCAGTAACCTTTTTATATTTAATGATGCCATGAAAAATGTTCATCCTCATACTATTTATATTTTTAGAGTTATAGGCCATTGAATTACATAGAGTGGGTCCTTTTTTTTTCCTTTTTTTTTTTTTCTCCTTTTCACTTTAAATGAGAAGGAGATGGACGATAAAATTATCAAACCATTTTTGTTGCTGTTTTTCATCAAAAAGTTTCGTCGTTCTGTAGTTATTTATTTCTTTATACTACAGCTGTCATTAGTAGTGGTAGAGTGCAGGATTTAAATCACTCTCATATGCTGGCTTTTGGTCCCAAAAATGATGTCTTTATAAGAGTTCAATTAAACTTTACTGTCAATTATATTTTGAATGAAACATTTCTCTCCTACCTGGGAGAATCCAAAGAGTCTACGGATGGGGATGGAGGTGATATTAGTTCATGAAGACTTTCACTCAGAAACCTGGAGTTCATATCCGGTGTGGGACCATCAGTTTTATACTTAGTTTCATGTTCACTCACTCTTTGCTTAGGTTTAGGCAACAAACTGACTTGGTTAGGTTGAGGAAAATAGTACAGTTTGTGTTCAAATATGACCCATTAACAACACAATTGAAGCTTCTTGTCCATATTGTTGGTTGCTGGTGTTACAAGTCCCATCACATCCTACATATGATTGTTTCACTGAAAAGGAGAAGCAGTTGGAAAGCAATCCAGGTTCAACATAATCAAGTAATATCATCAGTATCCTTTTATTCTGACCGTTGATTCACTCTAAACTTGTTGACCTTTCATTCATTTTCTCTTTTACTTTTAAACAGACACCTGCCTTGTTCTAACTGCTGCCAGAGTTTGCTGGAATCAGGAACAAGATCATATTTCATTATTCATTACATCCCCTTTTTGAATCTTCCTTGTTGAATCCAAAGTCAAAAAGGGCCTCAGCATACATACATTCTTGAACATTAATTGGCTGTATGCATCTCAAGTTGCACACAAACACAACCATCTCATAAAGAAGGCCCAGCAACCACTGAGTCTGTTCTCTGCACCTCTATCGCTGTGTGGTTTGGGTCTTCCACCTCACAGGGAAGGAACAGACTTCTGTAGACAGTGACAATAACTGAGGAGGTCACTGGTGCCCCCTTGCCATCCCACCAAAACAGTTTTTTCCCTCCAAGTTAGCAACCTCAAGAATAGGGGTAATCTTCTTGTTTTCAGACTATGCTAGTCCTAATTTCTTTGAAAGCTGATTGTGTACTAAGAGATGCTGCATTTTTAAAAAACTAATAGAGCTTCTCTATTTATAAATGTAGATCTTCTGCACCTTAGATCGAAAACAATGTACACCTACCACCACAGTTAATGCAAAGAATACATAGTTCTGTCCACACCTACAGGGCGTAGGGTAGACCTACTGTGCATACATGGGACACAGAGAGAGCAAACAGGTAAGAGTACATGTCTACATTTCTGAACTTTAAAACTATTTATCTAATAAAATCATATGATGCTACACTTGATTCTTCATTAAAGCTATGCATTTCTTTTATGAATATCTTTTTAATTTATTTTATTTCTTATTATTGTTACTACTTTGCCTTTAATTTGTATTCTTAGTGATTTCCCTGCAGCCAGAACGTCTTTCTCTTTAAACTTGTTTATTACATTTTCACTCTTATCACAAGGAAAAATCAGCATCTTGGATGAAACGCTACACTTAACATCAAGTTTCAGTCCTGACTGTTTGTCTCTATGTTCTCATGTTTGTTACTGGTTAGCTATTTTTAGGCGTGCTATCTGTCTGCTCTTGTCCTTGGGCAATACTTCTCTGGAAAAGACTAAATTACACTTGTTGAGTGTTTGACAACATCGTTTTATGAGCTCATAAAATGTCAGAAATCTTGCATAACCAGCATGTTTTTTTTGCTTAAAAAAATAAGAATAATAATTTTTAAATAATAATAATAACTGAATTATGATTATATCTGTTCCAAACTGATATCTCTGATGTTCAGTGAATTATTATATTACCAGCAGTTTATCAAACAGGCCTATGGACAGATTTCCTCATCTAATTAAATGGCAGACTTTAACCGACACTTTTAGTGAGTGCAGTGGATCAAGACACATAAAGCCAAACACAATACTAGTAGATAAATGATCACATTTTAATTGTATCTGAATGAACACTGGTGGAAAACATCAGCTAAAGTCCTTTTCAGAAAATATTTAGATCAGTATCAGATTTTCAAATTGCATGATATTCAGAGACTGACTTACTCCCTATGGGTCCAGTTTCGAAATATCTTCTGATCTGCTGCAGTCACGCTTAAATCTGTTTTGCGTTGTTCTTTGTTTTAGAATAAAGCAAACTAAAATGCCCTGTCTTACAAATGAGATGCATGTGTGTAGAGGCAAAGATCAGGTTTCCAAACGTTTGGGGTTGGAAACTTTGAACAATATTTGGTACACATAAGTGGAAAGGACAGAGGAGACAAAGGAGGGAAAAACTCTGTTCTTTGTTTGTCTGTGGTGGTGGTGGTGGTGGATGGACGTTTTTGTTCTCACATGGTGACAGTGGGTGGTCTACTGGATGAACAAAGACTGTTACTCTGCATCAGCTGTCAGCATTCACAATAGGGCCGACTATAGAAGACTTAAAAAGTTGCAATGATAAGTCTTTTTAAATATTCAAAATGAAACTACAGCCTTTGAAAATATTTCAGGTTGTCTTTTCATGACACAGGCACATAAAGTGACGGAAATTTAAATGCAGTCCTGAACATCAGACATTGACGCCATGCTACAAAATTCCTGTTGCACAAGTAGTAGACTCTGACAGCAGTCAGTCTCCAGTCACTCCCACACAGTCCATCAAGAACAGCAATAAGAGCAAAACAGACCTGTTCAATTAGGAATAAATGTGATTACTCTACTGCAACATCAAGCAAGCAGAACACGACACAGCCCTGTCTCCAGACATCAGGAATATACTACAAAGCGAGTTTACTTTGCTGTTTATTAGCAGGGCCATGTGTGCTGCCACAACTGTCTTCAAGGAAAGCATGTACAGTATTTTGACACTGCACAGAACATGAAGGTGAGGTGACCAAAAAAAACACGTTTGATTAATTAAATTCTGTGCAAACGTTCATGGTGCCCAGACAATAAACTTTATAGACACATAGAGTGTATATTCTTATACAGTCTGTGGTCAGAACTTCCATTTTTCATAAATGCTTCTAAATGCTATCATTGTGTGATTTTTTTCCCAGATTTATGTGAAACCATGGTGTGATCTCATATTTTTAGACCCTTCTGTTTCTACTAAATATCAGCATGTTAACATCATCACAAAGAGCATTTAGTTCAAACACTTGTTTACCTGAGTACAACCCCAGCCTAGCTTGACTTTATACTCTTATGAATGGAATATAGAGCCTCAGTGCTAGTTCTAAAGACATGCTGTCGGACCATGTCAGAAATCAAATCTGTTTCACTGGATAGTAAAATGGAAATCCAGCCATTGTAGAAAGAGGAGAGGGACCAGTATGGTTGTATTGAAGATATTGGCACACAAGTCTCAGAAAGCCTCTCGAAAACTTTGGTTTTGGTTAAAAACTCTCTTAACCCTGTGGCAGCAATGGCTAAAGTTAAGCCTAGATGCTAGGAAATAAATTATAAAAGTTAAAGATAGTTAACCCTAACACAAAGAAACAGTGTGAAACAATTCACTCATCATGAAAGAATATAGTGATGTTGCACATCAAATTAAACAGCAGAACCTGGGCTACAAGAATATATAAGCCATTTTTGCATGCCCTAAACACAACTCAAATACCAACTAAATGAATTATCAAATATGGAAATTTATATAGAGCCACCAAGTCAACCCACTTGCCACATTTCTGGCTCCAGCGTTTATGCAAAACGCACAAACAACCCCTCAAATGAAAGCAGACAGTCCACAGATTCCAAACATATCCATCAAAGCTCTCTAAAATCAAAGCATCGGCGAGAAACAACCCAAAGAACAGTAAAAACTGAAACTGCTTCATTAAACTGTAGTTGTAAAATGTCTCTTACCTTTGCTGTTTTTGTGCTAAAGTGTGCCAAAACATCACCTCGCCTGAACTGTCTGGACTAAAAACTTAGTAATTTTGTCCTGCTTCACTTTATCAGAGTCAACCTTTGCAGAGAGAATATTCACATATTGTGCTATGATTTGGGAGAGGTTTAGAGCTGCAGCTGGATCACTACAAAGAGATAATTATCCTGAAAGTGCTTTTTTTTTTAAATTTGTGTGTGTGCCATCTTCATTTACTCTTAACCAGTAACATATATACTGATATTTACACATCTGAACAAATCTTACAAGTGTTCATTTTATTATGACACAGTAATTGTTCAAATAGACCTTGTGGTTGCAGAGATAAACTGTTTTTATTATGGGTATGTAATTTTAGAGCAAAGGCCTGAAAAATAGCTCAGGGCTTATAGGGTTAATATAAAACATTGTGATTAACACTGAATTTTAAGAATAGTTCTTTTGAAATTTTAATTTGGATTTGACGACTATGTCCATGGTCTTTGAAATGGGTCATCAAATGAGCCCTTAGACCTGAATCATGTGCATCATCTAATCATAAAGGCTACAGTTAGTCATAAAGAGGCTTGCTTTGCAGCTATCAGTGGGATTTCTTATAAAACAGATAAATTCCACTTACAAATTTTATTACACCAGACAGTTGTTTGAAACATAATGCTTTATTTGACTTTATTTTTTATGTTTATATCATGAAAGATGTAACAAAAGTGTTTGAGGGTTGAGGGAAGTCCAGTTCATCTACAGCAATGCGCAGGTTGTCTTTTTCTTTGGGGGCACTGCGGTCTCCTTGCTGGAGGTGTTGTCTTTTGCAGTCGTTTCTCTGTCTGCTGTAAAATGCACAGCTTTTACTCTGGAAAGTGACAGTAAATATTGGTGAGGCATGCAAGCGTTATTCTGATGAAGCATGAGAAGCAAGACGCTGCTGCAGGAAAACATATTTAAACCTGCACCAGACAAGAATGTGTTTGGAGTCTGTAGAAAGGTCCCGGTCATCTGCAGCTGGTCGCTCACCTCCCAGACAAGAATGAATAAAATCCAGTTAGCTGACTGAAATGAAGAGACAAGCCTGTCCTCAACAGTTGAACCTGTACCATTCTGCCTTCATACAGTGAATAGAACACACTTAGGCTGCTGCTGTGGCCCAATTAAAAAGTCTACACAGGTTTTCCCACAGCCATGCCTGCGTATGCACCAGAAGATTAAGTTAGGTGTACAGAAAGATTGGAGTGGTTAGTTATCACATAGAAGGTTTTGTTAACTTTGAAACACTTTCTTTTTCTTTCTCACATTGAAAACAACCAGTGAGTGTCATAACAGTTGACATACTCTAGATCAAAACTGAAAAAATATTCCAATAAAACTTAGTAGTTAAAATATTAAACAGTACATATAAAGTCACTGTATTTAGGATATTATTAAAGCAGTGTGAGTATTTGTGGACAAGAGACACTAGAATAGGGTTGTGTGGATCTGTCTGAGCCACTTTGTGTCCCATTCACAGAGCCAGAGCTGCTTGTCAACACATCCATTGAACTGTGAGGTGACATTTACTAAATTTGACAAAAGCTGTATTGAATCAGTATCACTGGCTCTCCCTGTAATGGAACCAAAGTAAAAGCACTCAGGCTACTTTGCAGTACATATGCTGTTGTATGACTATTATTGATATAAACAGTATTTACAGTTGTGTTGTGTCAAAGAGAAATTAATTTAAGCAAGTTAATATACAATATAGATGTTTAGGAATCATGTACAACGGGGGTCCCCAACCTTTCTTGCACTATGGACCGGTTTTACGCAAGAACTTTTATTCACTGGCTTTTAACCCAGCCT